AATATCTAACTTTTTCGAAAACAACATCTCCTCTAGTTCTAAGTCAATCAACATGCCTAAATGTCTATAACATTCTCAACATCAACACCTTAACAAAATTCATTTATATGCATTATCCCATGTCAATGTATATAAATTTATTAACATAAATCAATTTACAATATATCAATGCATTTCAACAAATTCAACCATACAACCATCTATATATATTATCCCAAATCAATATACATAAAAACAATTATCACCAATCAACATACAACATGTCATAGATTTTCCCAACTTATTCATGTTTACCATTTAATCATACAAATAACAAAAATTTTCAAAAGCAACCCTAATGCTACTGTGAATAATCAATTTTATCCAGACTCACAAAAATAATGAAATGCACATCTACTATATGAAGAGGAGGAACTCCCAAAGTATGTAGGCAACACCATATGACAACAAGAAAGTTTGAAAAAAAAAGAAAGTGTTATGTACCCAGAACGGGCCGTTCCACGTTAGAAAAAAACACAACAACCCTAATTTAGAACGGTCATTCCAAGATGGGAATGGGCCGTTCCAAGTCAGTTAAAAGACCTACAACCCTAATCAGGAGCAGGGCATTTCGATCTTAGAACGGGCAGTTATTAATTTAGAACGGGCCGTTCCAATATTGGAACGGGCCGTTCTAAGTGACTGAAAGGGTCTAAAATTCCTTACTCGGAACGAGCCGTTCCAAATTTCAGAACGTCCCGTTGCACGTTTAGAACGGGCCGTTCCAGAGTCATATTTTGCTTGTAACGGTATGATCTAGAACGGGCCGTTCCGATTTCGGAACGGGCCATTCTGGTCTGGTCTAACGTCTATAAATAGACGCGTTGGGCACAGTTTTCAGGACGGAAAAATTTCATCCAGTACTCTTCAGAGCTCGATTTTTTTTTTCTCTCTTCCCTCTCTCCTCTGTATTTCTTGAGATCTCTGTAGTGTGAAAGGTAGCCAAAAAACACCTTCTTGATCATCATATTCAAAGATTCAACTCATTTGGTATCGTTTCTTTTCTTAATTTTATTTATTTATTTATTTTTTATTTTTTTATTTTGTTATTTTTTTGTTTGTTTATTTATTTATTTTTGTTTATTGTTTGTACATAATGAATATGAATTATTGCCTTTAAGATTATTATTTATAAAAATATTTAATATACGACCAATAATAATGTTAATTGAATAACATTTTTATCTTTAACATTATTGGGTCTTAGGAGTTTAATGACTAGTCATTTGCTAGCTTAAACTCTCCTGTACAAAAATTCTTTTTTAAAAAAATAAAGATGTTGCAACCAATAACGTTAATTAAATAGCATTTCTATTTTTAACATTATTGCTAACTTGGATCCTTGTGCAAAATCTATTTCTTTAAATAAAAATATAAACATAATTTTTCTTATGTACATTTATTTTTATGGTTAATGATATTAATTGAGTAGAACTTCTACCCTTTAATATCATGTAAATCATAAAAGTTAATATAATACTTATTCATTGTCCTACACTTTAAACATATTTTAGTATCAACAAATAAAAGTCAATAACATTGATTGAATAGCAATTCTATCTTTCATGTTATTAGAAGGGTTTATTGATTAGCCATTTGCTAACCCAAATCCCTATAATTTTCTAATAAAAATACAAAAAAAAGGGCATCTCACATAAAAAAAAAAATATACATATATACATTTCTAAGGAGTAAATTAAATATTTATAAATTTATATAATTTTGTGCAATTAAATAAAGGTACTATTTTTACAGGCGTTGTAGGGTGCTAATACCTTCCTTACACGTAATTGACTCCCGAACCCAACTTTAATTTTAAAGATTATCTTTTAAAGGGTTTTCCAATGTTTTTCCCTTAAAATAAAATATTGGTGGCGGCTCCATTGAAAATAAAAATGTGTGTGTCATCCCGTCGTGATCCCGGTTACGACAGCTACATTCCTCGCGCTCGACACCATTGAGGTAGGAAACCCTTTGCCTCGCCTATGCTCGACATCATTCAACCCACGCCTAGCGTGAATTAGGTTGAGGCCCCTAAACCTTCACGCCTAGTGTGGTAAGGTCCCATGCCTGACCTCAAACCAAGTAGAGACGAGTCTCTCTCCTCACATCTGATGTCACTCCTTTGGCACTCGACACCAATCTAGGTAGAGTCAATTATTTCATTTCATGCTTGACGCCATACAAACCATGTGTGGCGCTAGTTCAACCCAAGATAATTTTCTCTCTTTACATTTGACACTACCAATCCTATGTCTGACATGAGCAAGATATAGTCTTTGATTATAATCACACCCAACATCATAAAGACATGTCCAACGTAAATAATGAGTTATACACTTGCAAACTTACAAATTTGACTCAAACCACCTGAAAAACAGGAGATCTCAAATATGAAAAACACCAAACAACATATATACACCACTCATAACCTATATTCCACTAAAAAATCAACATGCAGCCACAAATTTGCTAACATCCTCAAATTCACTTTAACATGTTCCAAAACACCAAAAGTTAAACATTTTCATCATACAATCCAAAATCCATTCACATAAATAAATTTTGATGACAATTAAACAACTTGCAACTCAACAAACTAACAACAAATCATTCATAGCTTCCCTTACCTCATCAAAAAATCCAAATTTGAGACGAGGAAAAAGGAAGAAGAAAAAGGCATGAGCTTCTTTGGAAAACTCTACACGACTCAACAATTATGATTCACAGTGCACTGTCCTGAATCAACAAAACACAACTAAATTAAGATTCTAGGGAAAGAATCACCCTCTA